CTTATCCCACGTTCTGAGCGGCTGAACTAATTTACGTCGACTTCGTTTTTGACTTACTTGCGTACTACCTACGACCATAAAGTGATGGCCACGGGGAGACCAACCTTAGTGTACACCTGGTCAGTGGGGCGAGTGCTTCATCATACTTGATTTAGCCGGCTATCGCCTCCGGATTATTAATGATTTACTGCTGAAAACGATAACTCGGTTGAACTCCGAAATACTAAGTGGACGTCTGATTTCAACCTAGCAAGCCGATTGGCTATAACAAGCCAGTGTGGTTTTATGGGTATACATTGTGGTGTGCGAATCCTGTTTCGCCCCATGGGATGGAAAATTTGACGAACAGATAAGTACCAATTGTAACTAGGGACGCCTTGTGGTTTGTATCTTCTCCTTCTCTTTCAATTTAGACAGGTCTGGCATCGTTGCATTTTCACGTGCGTTGCGTGGATTCCACGCTTGTCGGATTCGTTTGGGTCCGAGAGGGTTTAGAGGTTAGAACGCGAATTCACTGACCGCAAGGTCCGTGGTTCGAACCCGACCACTGCCTCTCGACTCCCCCTGTCTAGCCTTGGACCACTTGACAGTATCCCAGCCTCCGTGCCTCCTTCCAGTGGCATGGTAGTTAGGTACCGAAAGGGTGTTAGAGCTGAACGGATTTGTTTTCTCGCTCAGCCATCCCAGTAGTAGGCAACACTCTCCATGTCCCTATCGAGAATTCATCTTCGTAATTTGCACTGAAGTGATGCTGACGAAGAAACTGATGAGTGTGTTGAATGGCCACACAAGCAGTGGTAGAATGATAGTGACTCTAGCCAGTGTTTGTCGGCGGTATGAAGCCGTTTACAAGGCTCCTAGTGGACTTCATGCGAGGGAGGCCGCTGGAACGAAGTCCAAGTACTCGTTTCGTTTTTAAACTAGGAGAATCAAAGGACAATCGAAAAGCGTGAAAGTCTATGTTTCCAGTGCGCGCATTCAGTCTTCAGACGCTTGCGACACAGAAGAACATCGATTTGTGGAGATTTTTGCTGTACAACCGAAGTAATTCCTTCACTGACGCACTGTTGCTTGGCCCCTGGTGAAAGCAAACCTGTGAAGTATCTGCCGTATACGTATCAGTATCACATCAACTAGCTCCTAATATTTCTCCTAGCGATGTTTAGTACACTCTTAATCCCCGGACTTGATAAACCTGCAGCATGAGATGACATCTTACACGGTCAAATTGTAGTTTCGCTGGTACTATTGCAATCCAGATGCACTGTTTATAAGTAGTAAAGTACTTACCTGATCAAATATTCTTGGCCACGTGGGCTGGCAGTGTCATCGTACAGTTGTCTGCCTGAATTCCACGTTGATAACGCTTCTACAAAAATTGAGGATATCTCCATATAAGGACTGCTTCTGCGGAGGTTAAAAGATCTGGTATTTATCTGTAGTGGTCTTTATATGAAGGGAACAAATTCCATAATGGAACGAACGCTACGAATTTCTCACGTGACCATACGGTCTTTTGCGAAGCTTACAAAAGATTGAAAAGAACCACGGAGGGGAAGATCTGTTAGTGCTCTGGTTGTGACGTAATTAGGTTGATTATCAGAAGGCAACAAGCACTACCAAATGTCTGTCTTACTAAAATGTGATGAATACAATAGTTAGGTGCACTTGATAATGCGAAAAGTGGAATAAGCTAAAAAGTGACTAAGCGTTTGAGGACACTTGTTGAAAGTTCCTGAGTGAAGTTCCGAACACAGGACGTGTCTTCTCTGCCGCATAGCTGCTACACGTTTTCCGTAGTTGTCCGTGGAGACTTGCGGAACTCTGTTGATTTCCTGTCCTGTGCGGAAGACTGTGTGTTTGGCCGAGTGGTATGCCTATTTATTGTTTGCAGTGTGAAGAGAGGGGTGTCTCTTTGTGTTTGGTACTTGAATACAACTTGAGCTGATGTGTTGAATGAAGTTACTAAGCCTGGTGCTTTACGCGAGTGGTAGCCGCGTAAAGAAAAATGGATGGGAAATCGTAGTATACATGTTATCGGCTCAGGTTGCAACTGGGACAGGAGTTGTCACGTGGTTTGAGTGTTTGTGACACGTGATCTGATGATCTGAGATTTTAGGATGCCCGCTTCACCTTCTCCCGAATTTTCAATTACTAGAAATGGTTTTGAGAAAAACATAAGGTTGACAGAAACTCGGGGACTGCGCCTACCCGATGAGCCCACATTGGGGGGAGGGCAGTCAAAGAGTTCTCAGCAACCTTGGGAATACCATGTCCTGTCAAGTTTCGCAGATATCGTGCCCACCGAGACATGCGGCGACCTTTGTGCAACACATCCAGTTGAGGAATATCACAGAAGAGAGGTTCAGCTGAGTCTCTTCGTTGAAGATTTATTTGTTGAGTGTGATTAGCGACACAAAGCATAGAAAAAATGAGATCAAGCTGATGAACAAGCTGATGGAATCATATGAATGGCTGGGAATGGCTTTTTGTTTTAGGGGCAGACTGGACAACGAATCTTTCGCAAGAAGCTCTCTCTTTGAGCAAACTTAAAAGTAGTGCGTCCTCTAAAAAAACAACCATATTCACTCGAGAAATACACTCATTTGCAAATCAATTTGGTTTTCACGGGAGACTTAGTTGAATCTCTCATTTATGATGTCCTCCAGCTGAATGTGCTGCACACAGGCCGCCTCATGATTCAGTTGGCACGATATTCGAGATATCGCAGTATATTTTCATAAAAGAAGCTACTCACAATGTTGCTGAAAACTCTTCGACAGCCCACGACCGGTTTCGCCCTTCTTGGGGCTCATCAGGTAGGCGCAGTCCCCGAGTCTCCGTCAACCTTATGATCTACTTGAACCCAAATTGCACTGTTTTCGAGAAATACACTCATTTGCAAATCAATTTGGTTTTCACGGGAGACTTAGTTGAATCTCTCATTTATGATGTCCTCCAGCTGAATGTGCTGCACACAGGCCGCCTCATTTCACTGTTTTAACAGAGCATGGGGTTCCAACGTGGGAGAATATTTCATGATGCGCGTATTTCGTCACAAGCATGACAAAGGTAGTGGTACCACATCAATCTGTCACCGCGCGACAGATTAACCAGTAAAACGCTTCCTCTCAATGAAGATGATGATGAGACCCTGGAGAAAATTGAAGTGCAGTCGGACTTCACATCTAGTTCATGCTCGCCGTTGTTTTTAATGAAACAGTTGACAGATGTTCTACAATGACGAAACTCTAAACAATTTCAGACATAAATATGATAAAGAAACACAAAATCCGAAGCTTGGAATAAATTTTCCGGGGACAGCAAACAGTCACAAATGTGACCAATAAAGATGGTTGGTAAATGCCTGCTTTCGTGATAGGATCGGCACACGGTGCATGGATAAGCGGTCTTCGTCCAGTGCGGAGGTGGTGGACATTTCAGCGGATATCCTATCTTTTCATAAAGGAAACTACTCACAAAACTCCTCGACGAGTTTTCAGCAACCTTGTGAGTAGTTTCCTCTACGAAAATACACTGCGATATCTCGAATATCGTTCCAACTGAAACATGAGGCGGTCTGTGTGCAGCACATTCAGTTGTAGAATATCATAAACGAGAGATTCGTTCGAGTCCCCCGTGAAAATCAAATTGATTTGCAAATGAGTGCATTTCTCGATCTCCTATTCTCTTCGTGAATGTTGCTTTCAATGTACGGTAATGCCCATAACACGTTCTAAAGCGTGACTCAGTTGTTCTTCGATGCAGAGGGTAAGCCATGCCGGTTTCAATAGGAAATGTTTCTTTTGTTTCAACCTGAAGCAGAATGCAACCTATGAGCTTCTCATGAATCGTTGGAACCGCGGAAGAACATTCCAGAAACATCAGAGTAGAAAAGTTTGAATTCCCGTTAGTGAGAGGTTTTTGATGACTCTGATGGGCATTCGCTCAGAAGTTGCCGTAGTATTTTCCAAAACCCCACCGAATATCTCAGACAATTTCCACAATGTTCCACTGCTCACGAATATGTTAACGTTAGAGTGATAAGGCGCATCGGTCAGCACACGCATTCGAGTTGTTTAAACAGTTCTAACCCTCCACAGAAAAAGTCCGATTCTCACGAGGATAGTTGAATCTAATTTTTGTAGTCAGTATCTTCCAACCTTGTGATTCGCATACAGACAATCAAGGTCGTTTTCATAAATGAAACTACTCACGAGGTTGCTGAAAACTCTTCGACAGCTCACGACCGGTTCCGCCCTTCTTAGGGGTCAGGCCCCGAGTTTCCGTCAAACTTGTGTTCTACTGGAACACAAATAGGACCGTTTTCGAGAAATACACTCATTTTAAAAAACAAATTGATTTGCAAGTGAGTTTATTTCTCGAAAACAGTCCAGTTTGGTTCAAGAAGAACATAAGATTGGAATCCAGGTAGTTGTTCAAATCACAGGAAATCTACCGAGGACGGAGTGTGTTAATCGATACAAACGCTAAATAAGCCTCCAACGTGGATCGCAGTCTTTTTGACGTGTAACTGATTATTTCGTGTTTGCTGATGAACGACTTCGCGGCGAAGGACTTTGCTTCTTTCATTTGGTGCCATGACCGGGATGCGGATGAAGATCCCGTCATCAAAGCAGTTTTGAGGGGGGGGGGGGGGGATATTCCTGGAGGATTTCAAGGACGTTGGTTGGACTGGAGATCAGCCAGGGTAAGTTGGCGGTGCTGAAGACCCTCCTCAGAGGCCGGGCGAAGGTGACCATGGATGCGGCCAGAAGGGGGTTTGGAAAGGTGGACTGGGCCGCTGCGAAGAGAGCTCTTGCAGTGGAGTCTGATATACCGGCCGACTGCCAGGAGGCTGTGAGGCGGTTCAAGGTGGCCAGGACGGGCCTTGACATACCGGCCGACTGCCAGGAGGCTATGAGGCGGTTCAAGGTGGCCAGGACGGGCCATGATGTGACCTGTACTTCGCTAGGCTGCACAAGTGATTAGATCGTACCTTGCCGAAACTGGATGGATGGCGCCAGCGGTTGCTGTCTGACCATTTCGTTGAAGGAGTGCAGCCCGCACTTGGTCCCCAGTTGCGGTTGGAAGAGCAACTGACTAGTTGAGTGTGGAGGTGCTGGTGCGTCTGGTACGGGAATTGGCCGAGGCACCACTGGCCACTTTGCAGCCGCAGGAGAACAGCGATGATTCAGCAGTGGGGTACCTGCGGACCAGCTTGTCGCTATTGAGACAGATTCGCTTAGACACCTTTAAACGAGCCGATGCTACAACGATGGAAGAGTCATTTTCATGGTACCCGGTCACCGGTCAATAAAAACGCTATGAATTACTCTAATTTCCTCTGGTGGGTTGCGATTAGTGCGGTGACACGCTACGTTATCGAGATAGATGGGAAGAGGGAGCTGTGCACAGTTAACACAGGAGCAGAGGTGTCACTGCGGCCGAGTGGTAACGAGGCTGAATGTAAACCATCAGCCCAGATACAGCAGACAATTTTTGGAGCTGATTTCTTTAAAAGCGTAGAATCCGTGGTGGACCTAAAGCGTGGTGACAAAGTATGGCTCGGTTAACCAAACACTGCCGTGAGCTAACTGCATGTCCGAAAGCTTGCGCCTTGTGATGTGCCATCAGTACAGTCTGTGGTCGAGGAATACGCCGAACTGTTCACAGGCAATGAAGATCCGTTTGGAATGAACACAAAATTCCCCTCTCGTCCGAGTGCTTTCGACCTTGGGGTCCCCGTTCGCTGCCACTCCATCTACGGGAGGAGGTCCGTAAACAAGCTCCAGAGATGTTGGAAAGTGGCATAATCGAGGAAGCCAACAGTGCGTACAACTCCCCAGTTGTGCTTGTAAAGAAGGCGAACGGAAAATACCGGTTTTGCGTGAATTTCCGGCATTTGAACGAACCGACCGTCCTTTCCGTTGCGGAGATTTTTGATTCGCTCCAGCAATACCGGTATTTCACGGTGTTCGACTTGCGTTTCCGATTCTGGCAACTAGCCAATAGGTCAGAGCACCGAGAGAAAACGGTGCTTATGGTTGCGGGCACCCAATATCAATTTGGACGAATGCCGTTTGGTTTGTCCGGAGCACCATTCACATTCCAGCGCCTGACGCTTCGCTAAATGAAGTGACTACAGAATATTGTCGTGTACGGGGACGATATCGTTGTGTACAGCAATTCGGAATCAGAACACGCAGTTCACTTGAAGGCTGTATTGAAGCGGGTCCGGTAGGCTGACCTGCGGATAAATGAAGCCAAGACACAGCTCGCTCGGAGTTCGGTGACACTGCTGGGGCATAAAGTGGGTCACGGAGAAGTTAGCGCACTGCCCGAAAAATTGGCAAAGATCAAGAATCGTGCCGTTCCCCATTCAAAGCGGTCTCTATGGCAGTTGCTTGTACGAGCAGCATTCTACAACCGGTTTGTTAAGGATTTCAACACGATCGCTGCACCACTGTACGATGTGCTAGGTCAAAATCGGAAATTCGACTGGACCGGAGAAGCACATGGGGCTTTCGAGCGTGTCAAAGCGCGGATGTTGGATCAGCAACTGACCTTCATGCTGCCCAGGGTAGGAGGGATGCTCACTGGTGCAACGGACGCTAGTGATCGAGGTATCGGCGCAGACCTAAAGCAGAGGAGTTGAGTTATCGAACATATCAGTCGTGTCCTGACCAACGTTGAGAGGAAGTACTCAGCTATTGAGAAAGAATGTTTAGTGATCGTCTGGGCCCTGGATAAGTAGAGGCCAAACATGCTGGCACAAAAATTTCATGTCAAGATAGATCACAAACCCCTGGATTGGATCAGAATCACCAGAGATCCTCGCGGAAAGCTCGTGAGCTGAGCACTCCGGTTGCAAGAGTACTCCAGGATCCGGCTGTCGAGACCAGAGGCTGAAGAGGAAACCTTTAGGATCATGATTGGTGTTAGTAGCCTCGTCGGCGCAACTCGAACGGCAGGACCCTGTGTTACGGAAGGTTGCAGCCAACTTGTTGGATGGAAGGAGTATTGAGAAGTATTGAGAGGGAGACAAGGAATCGGAAACGTTGCAGTCACTTCGATCGGCTGAGTCTGAGTGGAGCTGGCATAATTTTCTGGAACGCCACAGATTCGGATGTTGTGCTTGAGACGGAAGCTGATAGTCGAATGCCACGAGGTGACATACAAGGGCGCAGCAAGACGTACGGCTTACTTCGGCAGAGGGCCTACTGACCCGGGATGAGAAGTGAGGGGATAAATTATGTGGTGTCCTGTAAGCGGAGCCAGCTGATGAAAGAGGATACGATAGAGGCTGTCTCAGAACTCGGCGAGTTATGGTCCGTTAATGTCACAGGCCTCCTTCCGTTGACAGTCGGTGACGGAACATCTGTCGCGGTGGATCGAGGCGGCAGCCTGACCAAATCAACAGGCAACGACGCCAGCGGATCGGCAATGCACCACATACCCAAAAAAGTCCAAGAGGACGTGTGCTGAAGTTAAACGTTTCAAAACTTTGTACAGATGAGATGTTTAATTTCGAATCTAATGGTGTGTAACGGATTAGTTCGTGTTTGCAAATAAACAAATTCGCAGAGAAGGGCATCCCTCCTTTCACTCATACAACTACCGAAAACTCTTCGTTTATGATGATTTACCGCCCAAAAGTTGCCTCGTGCTTCACCTAGATGGTTACATTAAAGACCGACCACTTCAACTAAATTTGAGCTGTTATAGTAGTTCTGGTGTTTTCGTCCCACAGACCACTTGCAATGTTAAAGACTGGTTTTTGCCTGGGGCAGTCATCGAAAGAATGCTACAAACCATCGTTCACAACATGGTAGGGTCTTTTCAGAGAACCAACTTCAAATCCATCGTTTTTAATTCAAACACTACAAACAAGCTGCTACAGTGGGAGATATATTTTGTTGAGGTTTTTCTCTTTCATTCAAACTACATTTCTAGCCTCACCAAGCCCCACTGGCGAGAAAACGAAGCTTTCACTAATGACCCTTGATAGATGAGCACAAGTAGCTCTTTACAGTACACCAGGGTCTAGCTGATGTTCCGTTAACTCGTGTAGCTGACTGGTAAAAGCGGGCCATCTGTATCCGACCTTGCACCTAGTCCTGTTTGCCCCCCCCCGCCCTACACCATCCACAAGTCCGACAGTTAAACATGTACCGTCAAAGAAACTGGTGCGTGAGCCAAACAGCATCGAGGATCGATTGAGCGAATGGTAATGGAGATCGTTTTAGGGAATTGTAGGTGTTCTGAAGTCAGTAACCGGCCTTGTCAGAGGAGCAGTGCCTTGAAACGGGAACTCCTTGGATTTTGAGAACTGCGTAACTCTCCCTGTCATTCTGCAGGAATCACTGTGATAGGCGTACATGAACGTGTTTCGTCACTGCATAGAAAAAAAAACGGGTTTTGCACCGGTTCGGATTGCAACGCTGACTCTGAGCGATCGCACGCTTCAGCTCTGCGTAAGCAGGCTTATATCGACCGGCGTGCTGCTTTGAAAATCGGTCAGCTACACACTCACAGCGCTAGTAATGCAGGTCACGAGTTGATAGTGCTACATAGAGAAAAGTTCTTAAGGTTATCGATCCTTTTGGTGAACGCACATGTTGCCGGTTAACGCACTGGTCACGCATGTGACGGGAATCGATCAGTTGTAGACGGGGGGTAAGTTAAAAAACTGTCAAATATGGTGGTCATTGAACAGGTTGAGGGAATGGTTACTCAACACTGATTTTCATGTGGAGCTTGAGGACTCCCGCCGGTACTCCAACCCTATTGATCCCTGAGTCAAACAGTGGAGTTTTCAAGGACAGAAATCCACAAATTCAATGAACTTCAACCGTTGGAACAAGAAATCAGCGAGGCATTAAGAATCAAGGCAGGGGCTGAACACAAGAATGATTGCCTTTGATGCAACCCTCCACATTGCAAGGCCGAGTTCATTCAAAGAAATACGGGACTGCTTCTACATCACTTTGCGTTTTCATTCCGGATTGAAGTGTGTGAAAGTGAAGCAATATTTAAGCCGTCCAAATTGGCTGTCGTAAGGGGGTGTACGTTGTAGGGAGAATGCCTTTACGACGTAGAGCCGAGATTGGAAAACTCCTGGTTAATCTTTGGTGTTCGAAACAGTACTGGTCTTCAGACCCACGTTTGGACACCCTGGCCACAGTTGAGCTTACCGAGAATCATGAACTGGGCGGATAACGATGCTTTGATGTCACATCAACCTGGCGACGTCAGATGGGTTGCATTGTTCATCGCACACCGGAGGGCGGATAAACGAAAATACAAATTCTGACTCCGCTCCCGCACCCCTTCAAGCAGTCAACCTTTTGTAAAACCCACGGATGGGCGTTTCAACCAGGCGATTGCACAACAACATCCGAGTATGTCATGCACTGCCGCTATTCAGAAAGCGCGTTTTCGATTGTGTAACGGGTACTTCAATCAAAGAATGTGTCCAGCGCCAGAAACTGCATTGGTTGGGATACGTGTTGCGTATGCCAAACCATCGTTTGCCGAAGAGAGTGCTGTTTTCCATGCCCAATTCAGAGTGGCGTAAACAGAGAGGTGGTCAACCCCTGACCTGGCAGAGGATTATGAAGGAGATCAGGAAACGCTTGGGTGCTGTCGGTGCTACTCGCCTTCCAGGATGAGGACCACGTGATACTCACTGTGCCTCGTTGGAGACACTACAAGGTATGGCTGCCAAACGATGTCAGGGGCGTTCTTGTTGTCAGTTTCTATCCAGATTGCCTGAGTGAATGTCTGGAGGTGTAGGCACCTCGGAATGATTGTGGTAAGCTACCACTAAGTCCCTTCCTCGTCCATCTTTATTCTTTTCTTTACAAAAAGGCTTTCAAATAAATCATGGTTGTACGGCAGTGAAGCATCGGTGTTGAACACTGGTGTCAGGCTGTCGATGATGATTCAGAAGTCGGTTTCATGTAACTATGAAGGCTTTTATCACGCGAAATCCTAAAAGTTTCTCGCATCCACTCGAGCGAATTCATTGAATAGTATTTGCTGTCTTTGAAAGATGACCCCAAAACCCATTTGAGTTTCCGGTACGTGGACTCTGCTGAGTTTGCGACCCGAAGTCTCCTTCCTCGGAGAGATACCCGTGAAAGGGCGCCTGTGCGTCCCCACCGACACCCAGGATAGCTTGCACCAGTTTAAATATCAATAGCTCTTTATTTGGGTTATTCTCACACGAATTGACAAGTTGTTAGGCAGATTTAGTCAAGAGAACCCCCCCTTCAATGAGGATTGGTCACCCTTTTACCCACCATGCGACTTTCGTACATAGTTGCGATAGATGGGAACTTCAATGCGCACACAACGCAGCAGAGAAACATGTTACAACTGCATTCGATTTTTAACGTGAAAGGTGCTTTTTGCAGCCATCCACTGAGAACCGGTTGTTCCTCAGTAGCACTAAGCTTAGACGCAGCCGCTACCTACTCCCAAGTACTGACGGATCCCATCGTCACCGGGCTCAAACCTTGAAATACACAGGTCGTACTGTCGTCTCGTGATATAATTTCATGAAATTTCCTCAGAAAAACAAACTGCCTACTTATCCACAGAACAAGTAGTTAGGTGGCGTTGTACAAATGGCCATCCTATGGAAAATGGATCGTACCTGGATAGGGAGAACAACAGATTGGTTAAAATACTGGAAACTGTTTGTGATGTTTTCGAGAGCATGCACGGAAAAGCCGACGCAAGACAATGCATCCCAATAGGTTCAGGTTGAAATTAGGTCGCTTTAATGTCAGCTCAGGCAAAGCCTTTGTGTGAACAAAGAGGAGCGGTGGAGACCTGGAAACCTGACACTTGATTCGAGCCAGTAATAGACCGACGAGTGGAATTTTTTGAACAACCGTCCACTCAGATTGAGCCAGCTTAACTCCTCTCAGTTTATGAGGCACAAGTGTACTTTCTTAGCCTGAAACGCCCTCAGGCTACTGCGTCAGTGAAGCTTTCATCATCGTTATTCAGAGACAGAGATGATTCGGTATTTAGCATTGACTTAATCGTTTGAATTTTTTGGAACGAGATCGGATTCCATAGAAATGGGACATGTATTATATGAGCCGCTCCATCGTCTATCGAACAAAGTACATTCTGTTCCAAGCGAGTATTATACATCATGACATGAGGACGCGAAATGAAAGCGGCTTCAGTCAAACTAAGTGCTGTTTGATCTCCGCGCCTTCTTGGTTGAGAACCATGTGATACTACTCGTAGGGGACCTGGCATGTGACAGATCCCAGTGAGACGCATAGTCTTTTTTTAACCTGCATACGTAGCTAAGGATCATTTGTCGATACCCGTCGAGCTTAAGTCTGGTGCGGTTCACAAAACTTTGGCTCTGTTGACGGTGTCTTTCTTCGACATGATACTCAGATATGGTTAGTTTAGTTAGTCTCAGCGGTCAGGCAATTTATTATTGATCGTTTAGCTTGAGGACACAGGACTCCTCCACACCGAGTTCCTAACCTTCCTTTTCCTTCCTAATCTTCATTCTTTACGGTTGGATGGGCGACCTTCTTTGAACTTAAAGGTATGCCTAATTACAATACCATTCTCATCTAATCTTAGCGCGGGAGGAGGGGGTAATATCCTCGAATATGATTCTAGCTCTTTACGTAAATATCTCCGGTTCGTCCAACTGTAGCACCCTTCCAGTGCCTAGCTGCCATGCCATCCGAAGGAAGCACGAGGGCTGGGATAGTGCCAGGTTGCTCAAGTCTAGACAGAGGAAGTCGAGAGGCAGAGGTCGGGTTCGGACTGCGGAACTTCCGTTCAGTAAATTCGCGATCTAACGACTTGGGCCATCTCGCCCCATCTCCGGTTTATGATTGACTAGTCAAAGCTCTAGTATAGTTCTGCAGCGTTGTCTTTCATTGTGTTTATCGTTCTCAATCGCACAGCACTACCATCCTGGAATCGAAACAGCTCCTGAAGAAATAGCATGACAGTGGATTATTGATCCGCAGTCCCCACAATCTTCCCGAGGTGGAAAATCGGAAGCAACCCCTGTTTGGATATCCGTTTTGAACTTTCAGAGTATTGTTCACAAATTTTCAATTTCTGACCTTTTGGAACTTTAGAGTGAACAGCGTA